AGACAGACAGACAGACAGACCGACAGATCAAGAAGAAGGAATATGAAAAACTGGAGAAATATAAAGAATGAAGGATGAACTGAAGAAGATGTGGAAAGTAAAAGCAAAAATAGTCTCAGTAGTAGTAAGAGGAGCACTTTGGGCTGTGACTCCTAAGCTGGAAAAAGAGTTCCAAAAGATCTCAGGAATAAGTGCAGTGCTAGAAATAGCAAAGATTCTACATGGAACAATCAAACTCCCAGAACTCTAGTAAAAAATCCAAGATTGAGGAAGTACCATCCCTGAAGGTGAATATAATTTATTTTTATTTGTATATCATTGGATAATTAAAAATAAACAAAGTTCACACTGATTTATGAATCCACTTTAAATATTGGTTTCCATCAAAACTTCATTAGCATCCCTTTTAAGCTTTACCTGTTCTTAACATACTGTTCATATAAAGTATTGGAGAAAGAAAAATTAACAATTTAATTAATGAATTAAATGAATCCTAAGTATTTAAGCTTGGAATAAGCTATAATAATAAGATGTAGAGATATATGTGATTTTATTTCTAAGCTTAAGTACCTGGGATTCATTACATTATATAATACATACAGACACACACCACACACTGTATACTTCAATACTTTACATATATATTAATGAAAAGTAAAGGCTGAAAGGCATGCATGGTTCTAATAAAGATTTTTTTAAAAAATTGAACTATTTGAGAACCAAATTACTAGGTGTTCTGGCTACTACACCTGAAGGACAGCTATCCCTGTAATAACTCTTTTGCCATCCATGATTTAATCTTCCTTGAAAATACAGAGGACCAAAACTTTAGATTTGTTCCTGCTATTACTCAAATCAATCTTCTAGCTGTTAAATACAATTTAGGAAGCTAATTCAGGTATATTTTCCTGCATTCAACTGCTACTTAACAGGTTTTTCCAATTCCATTGTCCAAAAATTCCAATGTAATTCAATTCAATAGAGTATATATATTGTGATAGAATCGTTCTTATTTTTTAAATTTATTAATTAATAATTTGGAATTCCTACGTAGAAATCTCAGTTATACTGATGGCTTTAATTACTCACTGTTGCCTATATATGATTATTGCCCATAGCCTATCTCCTCATATGCAGGTTTTTTTCCCTTCAATATTTGCTATCTCTTTTCGGTATGATGTTTATTTACTAGCTCTGGAATCATCAGGTTCTTGCAGATCTACTTCATTGTATTCTCTATTAGATTCTTTTTTTTACTTAAACAAGTCTGAAAAAAAATCTTTTTAATTATATTTAATTATTTGTGTTATCAAGTAGTAAGAGTGGGTACTTTTCAGTATTTTGAAATAAAAACTAAAGTATTTTTTGAGTTCTACCAAAATAATTTCAACACTAGGAAATGGCCTGACTATAACATATTTCCCAGTTAAAAAGAAATAATAATTGATAGAATTGAATAAAGAAATCAATTTTAGTAGTTTTGATAATGAGACTAATTTAAAAAGTCTCAAATTTGAATAATTATTTGTTTATCAAACATGGTTTTTCAACTTTTTTCCAAAATAAATGATTAACATTTTACTTCATTTATTGGCCAGACCATACCTGTTTCAGTTTGTAGCAAGAGTTGCCTCCCTGGCTATTTCAAGAAAAAGCAGAAAGAGAAGCCATTTTGCTGCTATGATTGCCTTCCATGTCCCAAAGAGAAGATTTCAAGCCAGGAAGGTAAGACACATTGTGAGCTAAATTGAATTATAGTTCTGTAGGTCACCTCAGGAACTGAATTATATTTTTATCAATTAAGTTTTTTTACACTTCCAAAAAGAAAAAAAAATCCACAATACTTTGGAAGAAAAATTTCATGCACAGTTTATGGTTTAAAGCTGGCTGAAGTCTTTATATGATTTTGGGGTCTAGATGACCCATCATCTTTCCCATGGTACTTTTTAAATTATTCATCTAAAATCTTTGAACGTTACTTCCCATGAAAAAAGTTCCTGATGTGTCTCACAAAATCCCAAGCAATTAACAGATTTGATTAAAATCAGTACAGGTTGTTCACATTTAGTGGACATAAATAGTGCTGCCCACTATTGGGCATGAGGCAACTGTGCTTATGATGGTCTTTGAAGTTTTAATTTATCTACAGATCTGCAAAGATCTTCAATGCAAGGATTGGTGAGACAGTTCATGCTGTAATTGTGAACAGATACTAAACAAGGTAGTCACTTTTCCTAAGAAAAGTGAGCTAAGTTCGTACATTCAGGTATGGGTAAATTGTTATTCTTTCATCACAATCATGATGATGAATGGTCACTGGGGCAGAGAGAGGTTTATTGAAGTTTAGTTATACCACAGTCAGCTTCTTTTACCTTGACATTATTGCCTCAATTTTAACAACATAATTTTCCAACATTCTGTTCTGCTTTATTCAGAAAGTTTTTTTAAAAAAATGTAATATAAGGAGAATAGGAAATAGGATTCCCCCAGTTCCTTCAGCAAAGTTCATATTTATAGATGTTGTTATTAGCTTGGTTTTATTGCACAGAAATATAAAAACTGAAGAATATTAAAAATAAATGATCTGATATGAGAACAATTATTATACATTTATTTTCAGGTATATTATTGTCAATAATGCTCCTTAAAATACTTGAACACTGATGTAAACCCTCCCCCCACACACACCTGCACAAGTAATAAATGAATCGTGAGAGGAACTCATGAGTAACATTTCTTCTGTTAGCACAGAATCCCTAAATTCTCTTATGCTGAAATTTAAATGGGTAAGACCAGAATGACATGGTATGAAAATAGAACAAGCATATATGCATTTATTTATTTAAATTCTAGACATGACTGACTGTTCAAAATGTCCAGAAGATCAATATCCAAATAAAAACCAAGATTCATGTATTCTGAAGAAAGTATCGTTCCTGACTTATGAAGAACCATTGGGAATAAGTTTAATTACTCTGGCACTTTTCTTTTCTCTTTGCACAACTATCGTGCTGGCAATATTCCTGAAATACCATCACACACCTATTGTCAAAGCCAATAACCGAAATCTCACCTATGTTCTACTCATCTCCCTGCTCCTCTGTTTCCTTTGCTCACTGCAATTCCTCATTGCACCTGGAAATATAATATGTCTCCTCCGACAAATTAGTTTTGGCATCATCTTCTCAGTGGCTGTGTCTTCTGTGCTGGCAAAAACCATCACTGTGATTATGGCTTTCATGGCCACCAAGCCAGGATCCAGGATGAGGAACTGGGTAGGAAGAAGACTAACCACCTCCATTGTGCTTTCTGGTTTCCTGATTCAAACAAGCATCTGTACAGTATGGCTGTTCACATTTCCCCCTTTTCCTGAAATGGACACCCATTCAGAAATGGATGGAATTATAATGCAGTGCAATGAAGGTTCAGTTGTTATGTTCTACTGTGTCCTGGGCTATATGGGCTTCCTCGCAGCTGCCAGTTTCACAGTAGCATTTTTCTCTAGGAAGCTCCCCAGCAGTTTTAACGAGGCCAAATGTCTTACATTCAGCATGCTGATCTTCTGCAGTGTGTGGCTCTCCTTTGTTCCATCCTACCTAAGCACCAAAGGCAAATACATGGTGGCTGTGGAGGTTTTCTCAATTTTGGCCTCTACTGCTGGGTTGCTAGTCTGCATATATTTCCCCAAATGTTACATAATTATTTTTCGGCCAGAGCGAAACCAGAAGGAACAATTAATAAAGAGAAAATATTAATAATACACAAACAAAAGAATCCTATTTCTATTATTTCTGTCTTTCAGCATACTTTCTTTTAAGTTCCTAAATTTTAAATTATTGACTTTCAGAAGGCAGCAGAAATTTGGAATCATTTTGGTTTATGAGTAAAGGCTGATTGATTAGCACTTCTCCAATTAAAATTGAAATTCTGAGAAAGGAAGGGAGCATATGTTTATTTGAGTAAGCAGCTTGGGTTTGAGGGAAAAAATGACTGGGTTGAAGTTATTTAAAGAACCAAAACTGAAGTTGTTCGTAGTTTATAGTGGGAAGGTATGAAGACCCTAAATGGATCATGTTTTATAATGCTGCTATTTAGGAATGAGATAAAACCTTATGAAATATTAAGAAACAAAAATATATTAACAGTATAAATCTAAACACTTCATTTCCATTATTTCACTTGTGTAATTAATATTCCTTTTTAAAAAAAATTCCATTATCTTCAGCGCTGATATTCATACTCTATGGACTTTTTTGTGACATAGGTGTTGAACAGAAAATTCCTGGAAATGTTCTGATTTAGAATTAGTGTAGGAAGTCCATCATTAGCAATATAAATAATTTTATTACATTTTACAGGCCAGGCAGATAAAAAACAACATAAAGTAACAATCAATAGAAGGAATAAAGAGTAAAAAGAGCATAAAGATAGTTTGAAAAAGTATAAAGAAAAAGAATGAAAAACATATATATTGAGTATAACTTTCAACTTCTACTTCTAAGGATTACTTTAGATTCTTAGTTTAAAGCTATAATAAAATGTCAAATTTGTTCTAAATAGAAAGGGGAAATAATTTTTTAAAAGTCTCTTTTCCTTTTTAAATTTTAACAATTGTCAAATCCATAAATCAAAATTTGACTTTCTCCATCTCCTGAAAAAAAAATCCCAAAGGCTTCCAGTTACAAATTAATTTGTTTCCGTCACAAGCTTGGCCATTGTTGCCAGGTCGGTCATCTTTATAAGCATTCCTGTATTGCGGGTATCATAAATCTTTCCAATGTTGTGTGTATAAAAGTTGTGATTCCGTTATCATACCTAAGAATAAAATATCAAATTATTTTTCAACTATTTTATCCATAAACCCTACCCAAAATGTTTCTGGTTTAAAATGAATATTGATTTGAGGAAAAAAAAGAATTACATTACTTGTCCATTATTGTTTGGCTCTTTAACAAATCGACCAGAGATGATAAAAGTTTCCTATTTGAGTCTTACATTTTCAGCAACTAGTTGGAGATCCTTTATATATTTTAGCCAATTAATCTGGGGACAAATACCATCTATACATCATTTTATAGAAATTCTTTTTGAGATTACAGCAGAAGGTAAATTTTACGCCTTTTATCCAAATATTCTCCTGATCAATTGCTATGTGTACTCTTTGTGATGTGTGTATTCAGCAGAAAATTATTAATAACTAGAAAAGTATTCCAGTTTAAAATAAGTGTAGTAAATGTTCATCAATCAGTCATAGCCAAGCTTTTTTTAAATTAGTTGTGATTGATTTAAAGGATTCACTATATGAATAAATAAATGAATAATAAACAAATCACAGCATGTAATGTGGAAACATGGAAATCAAAGACATGCTTAATATCTTGCTATTGGCAATTATTTATATAATATTAAATCTGTCATGTTTTAGATTGATAATATTTTTGATGGAAAAATGAAATATTATTCATGTACCTTGAGAGACCGCCTCCTGCCAATTGCCTCCCATAGACCCATTAGATCCCACAGATTAGGCCTCCTCCGAATTCCATCTGCCAGCCAATGCCAGCTGTCGACCACCCGGAGGAGAGCCTTCTCTGTGGCTGCTCCGGCCCTTTGGAATGAGCTCCCAATGGAGATTCGGACCCTCGCCACCCTTCAGGACTTCCGGACAGCCATTAAGACCTGGCTGTCCCAGTGAGCCTGGGGTTGAGTCCCCCCCCCCCACTTGAACTTGTTGTGCTTGCTGTGTTTTTAAATTGTTGTATCACTGTCCTGTTTGTCTTACTTTTTGTATTTGTTTCCCTTCCCTTGGTTTTTGTTCAGCTGCCCTGAGTCCCTTCGGGGAATAGGGCGGCCTACAAATTGAATAAATACCAATACCAATATCAATACCTGTTCATATCAGAGATGAAGGATAACACAACATTGTCCAAACTGACCAGAAAGATTAATATACTGCTTCCTAGTGCTTTATAGACCTTTCTAAGCAGTTTACAGAATCAGCATATTGTTCCCAATAATCCTCATTTTATTGACTTTGGAAAGATGGTGTTCTGCCCCAAGTCTCTAAATTATACTGATGCCGGTTTGTCTGTCTGCCATGACTAAGGAGGGAGATAAGCCACCCCTTGGCTAGGAGCCCAGAAAAATTATCTCTATGAAAATCAAGACTCACGGAACTCATGGACATCTTCAAACTTTAAACTGATGTTTCCTGAAAAATTCTCCTTCTATCGCCCCACCTATAAGCTCTCTGGGAGAGGCCAATCAGTCCTATTTTCTTCTGTGAGCCTCTTTCCACAGCTGATGCCTCCTCCTATCAGCCCTCCACATCTGTATGTCAGGGACAACTTCCCTCTGTTCCTCCCTACTGCTCCCTGACTCAGATGCCACCTTGTGGACAAAAGGTATCTCTAGTCCCTGCTCTGACTCCGAATAACCCCCAGAGTCTTCCTCAGCTTCCAGGGTTCATCGCTGTCAGATTCCACCAACAGCTCAGCTGGTCGCTGCTGTCCCTCACAGCAGGACCCTTCCCCTGGGTCTGACACTTAGGGTGTGGCCAAGATGGGAATTGCTCATGGAAGGCCTGCACCAAAGCAGGTGTGTGCACGGAGGTCACATCCTTCCAGGTAAAATCCTCTGACCCATGGCCCTTCCATTCAAACAGGTATTGGAACCATCTTTTCAGCCATCGGGAATCCCAGATACTGGCAACTTCGTACTCGGGTGGCTCCTCATTGTCACGAGGGTCTGGCTGGGGCTGATATGGTTGGCAAAGAGAACAAGCTGGCCGTTCAGAAGCAAGGAGAGATTGATGAAAGACCAGATAGACTCGCATCAAGGTGGCAATGTCAGGCAATAGATGACCAGATTGATGACTGCCTCAACAGGAAACGGGCCAAGGTAACGGTGGTCTAACTTCTTGATCGACCAGTTTGATGGAAGGTGTCTAGTGGATAGCCACACTTGATCCCCCACAGTCAACACTGGTGTCGCATGCTGAGACCTGTCCGTGACTCTCTTATAGTCCTCCTTGGCTTTATCCAGATATCGTTGCACCACTTGATGGACCACCTATAGTTCCAACAGGAAGTCCTTAGCTGCGGAGACTGGTGAGTCAATGGGTGTGAGAGGAAAGAACCGAGGATTATACCCTACATTGGCCAAGAAGGACGTCATCTGCATGGATATGTGCTGTGAGTTATTGAACGCAAGCTCCACAACTGCCAGGTAGTCTGCCAAATCATTTTGCTGCTGGTTCACAAAACAGCGCAGGTACTGCTCCAAGATTCCGATCACTTTCTCTATCCCTCCGTCAGTTTCTGTATGGTGCACCGAGGACAAGCAGATTTGTACATCAAAGGCCTTCATCAGCCCTTTCCAAAACTAGGCTGTGAATTGCATTCCTCTGTCTCACACCACCCTGTCAGGTAGGCCATGCAGTCTGAAAACATGTTGGATAAACATGCAAGCGGTGGCAAGGGCTGTTGATAATCTCCGACATGGGATAAAATGCACCATCTTTGTCAGCATATCTTCCACCATGAACAGGTAAATCCTGAAGACGGAGGCAAGTCTATCAGGAAGTCCATAGAAATGGTCACCCAGGGTCTCTCCTAGGTCAGCAATGGCTTGAGCAGCCCTGTAGAGTCTCCAGTTGCTGACTTGGCTTGCTGACATTGTACACAAGACGTGATGTAAGATTGTATGTCATGTCGTAATCGGTGCCACCAGAAACTATGAGAGACCAGGTTCAAGGTCTTGAAGAGGCTAAAGTGCCCCGCCGCAGGATTATCATGGCACTGGGATAGAATAAGTTCCCAAAGTGGCCCCGCTGATACATAGAGTCTGTCTCTGTACCACAAGAGTTCATCGGTGAATGTCCATGGGGAGGCAGATCCCACCTCTGCTTTCCATTGTTCCACCCAATCGTCATGCCGCTGCGCTTTCCATATCTGAGACCATAAGTCCACAGGCTCATGAACCATGGAGAAGGACTCTATGGGCAAAACTGTCCAGGGAGGTATTGGGTCTTTGGCACAAAAATACTCGGGTTTCCATGATAGGGCATCCACCCTTTGGTTGTGCGCACTGGGGGTGTACATCAGGTGGAAATTGAACCATGCAAAGAAAAGGGAACACTAGATCTGGCGCTGATTCAATTTTTGCATGGTCTTCAGAAATTCCAAATTCCTATGGTCCGTCCGGACTTCAAATTGATGCCTGGCCCCCTCTAGATGATGCTTCCAGGTCTCAAATGCCACCTTAATGGCTAATAACTCTGTCTCCCAAATGGTATAATTGCGATCGGAAGAATTGCATTTTCACGAGTAATAGACGCAAGGGAAAAGGGTACCGCCGGAGGTGTGAGCCTGAAGTAACACTGCTCCCATAGCAATATCTGATGCATCCGACTCCACTACAAATGGACGATGGGGGTCAGGATGCTTCAAAATCGGCTCTTTCATGAAGGCCTGCTTCAAGGCCTGGAACATTTGTTGCTCAGGGGCAGTCCAGTGAAACAACCTTTTTTCTGCAGGAACCGAGTGAGTGGTGCAGTCAGAGAAGCAAAGGCATAGATAAAGGTCTGATATTAGTTGACAAACCTGAGGAGTTACTGGACATCCTTCACTTGCCAAGGAGGTTGCCAACTATGCAAAGAGTCCATCTTGCCCGGCTCCATCTCAATGCCTTCGAGAAAGATACAATGACCCAGGAACTCGATCGTGGACTGCCAAAACTGGCACTTCTCCAGTTTCACATACAAATGATTCTCACCAAGCTGTTGTAGGACCAGGCATAGGTGCTGCCAATGACTCTCCCGGGAGGATGAGTAAATTAATATGTCATCAAGATAAATAATGATAAACTGGTCCAAAAGGTCCCGAAAGATGTCATTCATAAAATGTTGGAAGATGGCAGGGGCATTGGTCAGCCCAAAAGGCATGACAGTATACTCAAAATGCCTGTACCTGGTGCCGAATGCCATCTTCCATTCATCCCTGGGCTGGATCCGGACAAGATTGTAGGCTCCATGCAGATCAATTTCATGAAAACCGTAGCTCTTCTAGCCACTCCAACAGTTTAGGAATAAGGGGCAGAGGATATAGATTATGCACCGTGATAAAATTAAGTCTACGGTAGTCACAACAAAGTCTCAAATCTCTGGTCTTCTTTTTGACAAACAAGACCGGGGCAGACAGTGGCAAAGAAAAGGGTCGGATAAAACCCCGAGCTATGTTTTTGTACAAAAAGTCCTGCAATGTGGCCAACTCAGGGTCTGATATTGAATACAAATGACCCATGGGGAGTGGCACGTCTGGAATCAGATCGATGGGGCAATCATATGGCCGAGGCGGTGGCAATTGGTCTGCTTCTTGTTCACTAAAAAGGTCTGCAAAATCTGCTATGTCGGAAGGCAAGGACACCCCGGGTGGACTCAGCAGCTGGCCTGCATAGACATGATGGGTGTGGTCCACACATTGCAAAGCTGGAAAAGTGGCAAGGGTCTGGTACCAGTAGATCTGTGGGTCGTGCTCCTGAAGCCAAGCCAAGCCCAAGACTATGGGGAAATGCAGGCCAGAGGTAATGTAAAACTGGATGGCTTCCTCATGAGCCCTGATGACCAGGTGCAAGGGTTGTGTGGCGGCCTTGATAGGCCCAGACAGAAGCACCTGGCTGTCAATGGTCTCCACAAGCATAGGAGGATCTACCGGACACAGAGGGACTGCATACTTGGTCACAAACACCTCATCCATGAAGTTTGTGGTAGCCCCAGAGTCGACTAGCGCATGCACTGGAATCCCCTGCAGACTACTGGACAGGGCTATTTGGGATGCAGGATCAGGTGTCGGGGATGCCTGCAAGTCACTGTCTCTGAGCATGGCTCGGAATTGGTGTGTGCCCAACCCAAGGTCTCCTTTAGATAAGGCTTGGAGGCGTTTCCTGACAAAATGTTCTGGGACTTGGGTGTAGGTCCCGTAACTGATGCCCCTCGTCTCTTATTGGGGCAAAAGGCTGCCATGTACCCAGGTTCCCCACAATAAAAACACAACCCCCTAAGTGCTGTCTGTCTTTCTCCATAATTGATGAGCGGGGTTTGGCTGCACCTAATTTCATGGGCTCCTCCCATGGAGTTGGAGTCTCATGCATGGCCAGAACCACCCTGTTGTCCTGGGACGTATGGCGAATTCTCCACCTCTGCAACCGAACATAAATCCAAAGACACAGATGGGCCAGTGTGTTGAACATCGGTGGCCTATCCACCTGCACCAGCTCATCCTACAATTCTTCTGACAACCCATCCTGAAATGTGTCCATGAGGGCTGCCACATTCCAAGCTGAATCCTGACTAAGTAGCCTAAACTCATTGATGTATTCTTGAAAGGCCCTGGCCCTGCTTCAGAATCTTCAGATGTCTGGTAGCCATCTCCATCTTAATGGGGTTCTCGTACATTAACCTGAGGTAGTCACAGAACCCCCTGAAGTCATCCAGCAAAGGGCTAGCCTGGACCAGCAGTGGGGTAGCCCAACGAGCTGTGGAGCTGGAGAGCAGGCTAATCATAAACCCCACTTTATCTCGGTCAGTGGGGAAATCCTCTAAAGCTGATAAACAGCTGGCATTGTCCCCCCAAAACTGGAAACATGGTTTGGTTGCCATTGAATTTATCAGGCACTGCGACCGTGCATTTGCTCCGAGGTGGGGGTGGAGCAGTGTGAACTTGAGCTGAGCTACCTGGGCAGCCAGCAAAGCCTGCCTTTTGCATGAGTGGGCATTTCTGGCATGAAGCTGCTCCATTTCAGATTATATGTAAATCTGCTTTAAAAGGCAGGAAATATACTGTTCTGTCCCAGGCCTCTAAATTATACTGATGCCGGCTTGGCCATCTGCCACCATTAAGGAGGGAGATAAGCCACCCCTTGCTAGGAGCCCAGAAAAATTATCTCTATGAAAAACAAGACTCACGGAACTCATAGACTTCTTCAAACTTTAAACTGATGTTTCCTGCAAAATTCTCCTCCCATCGCCCCACCTATAAGCTCTCTGGGAGGGGCCAATTAGTCCTAGTTCCTTCTGCAAGACTGTTTCCATGGCTGCTACCTCCTCCTATCAACCCCTCCGCATCCGTATGTGAGGGATAACCTCCCTCTGTTCCTCCTCACTGCTCCCTGACTTAGATGCCACCTAGTGGCTAACAGACCTCTCTACTCCCTGCTCTGACTCCGAACACCCCCCAGAGTCTTCCTAAGCCTCCAGGGCAGTACCATAGTGTTCATCGCTGTCAGATTCCACCAACAGCTCAGCCGGCCACTGCTGGGCCACAACAGATGGAAGGCTGAATCAACCTCGAGCTGATGAGACTTGAACTGCTGAATTCCTGGCAGCCAGCAGTCAGCAGAATTAATCCACAATATCTGCATTCTAACCACTGCGCCACCATGGCTATCCAGGCAGTTAACTTTTCTTGCCATTAAATAAAGAAGACAATATTCCACCACCTAAACTTTATTCACATCATGTGTGTGCCTGATGTGCATTGCTTATGTAAGTGCAGTTCACTGTAAATTGTTCTGTGCATGCTCAAAGACCATGAAAAGCTAATAAAAACCATGCCAACAATGGCAGCAGAAACTGGGGTACTGTTTCAGGGGTGTGGCCAGCCTGCGTTGCTGCTGGTTATGTCACCCAAGCCAAATTATCATTACTAGTTTGCCCAAACTGGTGCGAACCGGTAAAAACCACCTCTGTTTTGTTCTAAAGATGTGTGAAGAGGTGCTAAATTCATGCCTTTGAATTATCTGGATTTGGGGTGGGGGGTGAAAAAATGGTGCCCTATTGTGTTTGAGAGAAACATGAATTTCTTCAACTTTGTCACATTTAACTTCCCCTTAACTCACACACTTTCCCTCCATTACAGGATAACTTATTGTCTCTTTCCATACTTACTATTTCATGTGAAGGCTGCAATTTTCTCTTCCCACTATAATTATCAAAACAAATATAATTAACTTTGCTCTTATTCAAACTCCTGATTCACAAATTATTATTGTTGGAAAAAAGAGAAATTAAATGCTGATGGACTATTAAATAAGTAAAATATAGGGGCAGGAAGATCAATCAAAATGATCTTTCATAACTATTTGTATTCTAAGATTCAGAAGAGAATGGAAGTCATATGAGGAATAGGGTTCAAGCTAGCCCAATTTTTAGATCAATGACTCCAATTTTGGCAACTCTTAAGCATTATGTGGAAAACTGGGACTAGCATTTATTATGATGACACTGCTTCTTCTCCTATTGTTACTGCCACATATGGCTTACAAGACTCAAGCAATAAAATGCAGCTTTCAAGATCCTATTCCAATTGTTCACAAATATTTCCAACCTGGTGACCTGATCATTGGTGGCATTACTAAGTTTGTGTTCACAACTACTGATGCAGAAAGCTTTAAGGAAGATCCCCATCATACTCTTGTTAGTGAAACTCTGTAAGACATTATTTTCTTTCAAAAGTCTATGTTAATTTAGATAAAAGTCTTTACTATGCTTATTCAATAAATAATTACAGTATCTACTGTGATTAAAAATGATTTCTCCCAGCTGAATTAAATGAGATGATATTTTTCAACTTAAACATTATTTTCTTGGACTTTCTGAAAGAAATCAACAGCAAAAACCTATGTACCTTAAATCAAGTTAGAAAAAAAACCCTAAACATCAAATACCTCATGGTTAGAAGAGGCTGACAAGACAGAGCTATTCCTTTATCGGTTGACCATATAATACTTTCTTTTGGGATGAGAATTACAACATTAATCTCTAAAACTGACTCTGCTAAAGATGTGAAATTGTGTTGAATTAAAAGAGTAATGCTGTTCAGTCAGAGAGAGCATACTTTATATTTTGCTCCAGGAATAATATGAATATGAACAGGAATAATATTCACTTATTGATATTTTTTTTTTAAAAAACCTCTTTCTTATTCATCTTAATTATTTTCCTCCTCATTTCTCCATTACAACTGATACTTCCTCTAAGATTATGAAGGTCATAAACATAACATCAGTACCAGCAATTTTGATAGATCTATTGTTTTAATAGAAAAAAAATGTTTGTAAGTTTGGTTCTATTGTAACAGATTCTAATATTCAGAGAGATTTGAATTTTTTGTTAATGTAACAAAAAAGCTACAATTTAATGCATAATTTAAGAAGCATTTGTAGTGCTATTATTTGTTATTATTTGTGCTTCAATGTTATATGTACCTTGTTGTACCTTCAAAAATCTTGTTGAAGGCAGGTTAAATTCTAAATTTTGCCATTTTTTGCACTCACGTTAAAATGAAGCCTCCACATTTGTAAGAAAAAGAACTTAATTCAATTTTACTATCAGTTATGCAATGCTAGTATCTATGTTAAATGCTTGTTAATGATTCTGGTCAATTTCATATAGAATTGCTTAAAATAGCAAAGAAAAAAAACTCTGGGATTATTCCCTTCAAAAATATCTCCATGATATTTATACCAAATAATAAGTATACGTTAATCATTATGAAACAGTGACTATGATTTATAGATTATTGATGGAATTTGAACTATTAATCATTTAACATGAAAGAGTGATTATTGGTTTGCAAAACTTTTTTAATTGGGTTTAGTTTCACTGTACTTTATAGCTGTAGAATTTCATTTGATACAGCATTTAATTCCAATTGCAGAGTTCTAAGTAAATATTATCAGCATAACTTGGCCATGATATTTGCTGTGAAGAAGATCAATGAAGATATCCAGATCTTACCAAATATAACGTTGAGCTACAATATCTATGATAGATATGAGGATGCTGACTTTCAAGCCAAACTGGAAATTTTCTCCAGTCAGAACAAATTATTTCCCAATTACAAGTGTGGCATCCTGAACAAAGCTATATCAGTTATTGGGAATATTGATCAAGGAATGTTTTACATGGATATTTTAGATACTTATAAAGTTCCACAGGTAAGATGAATTGGGTACAGCCTTTCATATGTGTTAGACTGTAAGATCTTAAGATATACGGTCATGTGAAAAAGTATGTACACATTCTTTGAATTCTATGGTTTTACATATCAGGACATAGTAAATACGATCTGTTCCTTAGCAGCCCTTAAAAGTACGTAAATAAAATCTCAGTTGATCAACAACACATTACATATTATATGCCATATCATTTATTTTACAAAAAGATAGCCAAAATGGCAAAGCCAGGTGTGGAAAACTAAGTACACCCTTATTATTTCCATTGCTATGAAGAGGCTAAGTAGCAGCCAGGTGCTGCTTATCAAGTATACCAGAATAACACAATTGTCCAATCTCTTCTTTAAAACTTCCAGTGTTGGAGCATTCACAACTTCTGGAGGCAGCTTTTTCCACTGATTAATTGTTCTAACTTCAGAAAAATTAGTTCTAGGTTGCTTCTCTCCTTGATTAGTTTTCATTTCTTGCTTCTCATCCTGTCTTTAGGTGCTTTGGAGAATAGGTTGACTCCTCCTTTATGGCAACCCCTGAGATACTGGAACACTATCAAGTCATCCTTAGTCCCTCTTTTTTTAAACTAGGCATACCCAATTCCAGCAATCATTCTTTAAATGTTTTATCCTCCAGTCACATACTCATCTTTGTTGCTCTTTTCTGCACTCTTTCTACACTCTCAACATCTTTTTTTTTACATTGTGGCAATCAAAGCTGGATGCTATATTCCAAATATGGTTTTATCAAGGCATTATAAAGGACTATTAAAATTAAATGTGATCTTGATTCTATCCCTCTATTAATGCATCCTAGAATTCTGTTGGCTTTTTTTATCAACAACAGCACACTCTTGGCTCCTGTTTAAGTAATTGTCCACTTCAAGATCCCTCTCATGGTTACCAGGTATCATCTATACTACACCTGTCCATTTGGTTTTTCTTCTCTAAATATAGACCATTACTTTCTTCACCATTGAATTTCATTTTGTTAGATATTGCCCAATGTTCAAGTCTATAAAGATCTTTCTGTACCTTAGGCCTATTTTCTGAAGTGTTGGCTATTTCTGCCAGCTTGGTATTGCCTGCAAATTTGATGAGTTCTCCATCTATCTCCTCATCTTCATTGATGAAGGTATTGAAGAGAACTGGGCCTAAGACAAAGTCTTGGGGTATCCTACTGCATTCATCCCTCCATGTAGATACAGTTCCATTGAGAACTACTCATTGAGTGTGGTTGGTCAGCCAGACACAAATCCATCAGATGCCTTACTTAAGGCATTTCTCAGACACAGAATCTTGGCACCTTGCAGTCATTGAATCAACCATTGATTTCTTTGTATACCAAAGTATTCTAGAGTCAAATGTGAGGCCATCAGTCTTACAACTAAAGGTTACAACTAAAGGTCTTACAACTAAAGATTGGTCAGCATTGGGTCATTCAAAAGGCTAACAGCAAACCTACAAACAGAATGGCTAAAAAGGAAAAGAATCAATGTGTTGCAATGGCCCAGTCAAAGTCTAGATCTCAACTCAATTGAATTGCTGTGGCAGCACCTCAATACCATTGTGCATAAACAAATGCCCACAACCCCATTGAACTGAAGCAATGTTGTAAAGAATAGAGGGCCAAAATTACTTTACAATTATGTGAGAGTTTGATAAATTCATACAGAAAATAGTTACTTCAAGTTATTGCTGCTAAAGGTGGTTCTACAAGCAATTGAATGATAAGGTATGCTTAGTTTTTCACACAGGACTTCTCCATTTTGCTTTTCTTTTTGTAAAATAAATGATGACATGAGGTAACATCTCATGTATTGTTGTATTTACATCTAAGGTTATATTTGCCTACTTTTAAGAACTGCTAAGGACCAAATGATTTTTATTATGTCCTGATATATAAAACGATAGAATTCAAAGAAGGTGTACTTACTTTTTTGCTTGTCTATACCTAAGATTCATGTACATTTTTTTATGTAGCATATTAAAGAAAACGTATTTCATATATTACAAGTTGAATTTTACAATTTGATGTGAATATGTTTGAGTTTCAAATATTAACCATTAACAGTCATTTAAAATTTACATGTGAGTTAATGTGCCAAGAAAATCTATACAATAGTTTTGAATTTTACACTCTCTCTCTGTCACACACAAATACACACTATTATTATTTTTATTTATTGCCTTTCATTCAGGTGCTCAAAGAGACATAGGTAGCGTTTTTTCTTTCTATGGGTCATCCTCACTTACTGACTACAGTTGACCACATACTGTATGTATGTGTATGTATGCGTGTGTATATGTATATATACATATGTGTGTGAATGTTTATGTGTGTTTATTTGTGTATTTGTTTGTGCGTGTGTCATCTAGTGCAAACAAATTGTGTGAAAGCATATGCTGAGATATTTCAGAACTCTTAATATACAGAGAATACACATTTTCATCTGTCAGCTATATTTCCCCCATTTATTTTTTCTATCAATATATTTTTCCATAGTTTTCAACTAGCTTTACTTCAAATGAAAGCCCTTTCTATTACCACATGCTTCCTGATGGAGAACTGTATAACAGGGGGATTGTTCAACTACTTTTGCACTTCAAATGGACTTGGGTTGGAATATTTGGTAAAGGACACGCTGGAAGAAAATTTGATCACCTAGTTTCTTTGATGTTTGCTTCTCATAGAATCTGCATTGCTTTTGCAGAATATTTCAGTTCAATATATTTGACCAATTTTGTTGATGGTTTGGAATGGCTTATTGAAATATTTCATCGTTTTGCTAACAGCAAAGCAAATGTTGTCATAGTCAATGATGTTCATTTTTTAAATTTAAGATGGTTGTTATATCTACCTGAAATGGATATGGTTTCTATAAAGCCAAAAGGTAAGTTGTGGATTGCAGCTTTCGAAGAGAGTGTTGCTTCATTGTTTTTCCAGAGGTACTGGGATATCCAAGTCCTTCATGGTGCTCTGACTTTTGCAACTAACTCAAATGAAATAACAGGATTCCAACATTTTCTCCAGACAAGAAACCATTTTTCAGCCAAAGAGGATGGTTTCCTCAAAGATGTGTGGGAGCAAGCATTTAGCTGTGTATTTCCCAATCCATCTGGGAATGGAGAAATGGAGGGTATCTGCACTGGGAAGGAGAAACTGGACAGCCTTCCTGGGGCATTTTTTGAAATGAGGATGACCAGTCATAGTTACCGTATATGCAATGCAGTGTATGCTGTGGCACATGCTTTACATGCCATGAAGTTGGGCCGATATCATAGGAGAAGTATGAGTGGCAAAAAATTCAGTCTTCAGGATCTCCAGCCATGGCAGGTAATTCTGTAATCAGATATATTGGAAATGGAATTTGAATTGCACTGGCAATCCAGTATTTCACAAACTCATGATTACTAACTGTAGTGAGATATAGGTGGAAAGTTAGTACAGGTGGTCCTCACCGTCCATAAGGATGGAAAGTTAATAATATTTTATAGTTTCTTCTTTATCCATTTTTTCTCTTTTGTAGAATAGGTAGTCTCAATGTACTTCAATCCTTGAACTTATGAGCTCATTTATTGTTTAGTTATTTTTCTGATATAATATAGCTATTTGAGATATATGCCTCATTGACACACATACACATACATACACACATAGGAAACTGTTTCCTTTAATAAGTTTTATTTCTGTTAAAAGGGACAAGAATAGCTAGCTCAAGTTGAACCCTTCTTTTGAGAAACTTACTGAGAAGCATTTAGGTCAATAACTATATGTACCTAAAATAGTTAATATAATGGAAAACTTTTAATCAGTGTATGAACTGGAAGAACTGAAGTTTCTAGTTGGGCATTCATCATTCTTTTGCAAACTGCTTAGTTTCACAAGTTACATTAGATATTAAACGATCTGATGTTGCCTGATAAGGTTGTCTCCCAAACAAGGCAGAAACTTCTTAAAATTCTTGCAAAAAACAATGCAACCTTGAGTACATTTATTAAATCAAATATTTTAACAGTAAGATATATTTTTTTGATATTGAATTATGTATGGATTTCTTGAACTGGACTCTTTTAATTATTGAAAGTTAGTAGAGTAGTTTTTGTCTTTTAATGACCTGGTGATCCCTAAAATTGGGGCTGAGTCGGGACAACTGAATGGAGCTCAGTGTTTACTAGTCAGATACCCTTCCTGTCTCCCATGCAGAGTTCACAGCAGATAGTTTCACATTGTACCCAGAGAGAGAAATAACTGCCTCCTGATTGTGAGACAACAGAACTCACAACTTTCTGATTGTGAGATGAGAGCTCCACCTCTAGGCCACTGCACCACTCAAATGTTAGTAGACTATAAGAGAGTGATTTTCGATGAAGGACCACAAATGACCATTTTTTATATGAACACTAGATTTAAATTTTTCCTGTAAAAAGATTGAGATAGTCATCTAATTTTATACATTAACCATTTTTTTCATATTCAGCTTCACTACTTTTTAAAAAGGGTCTCATTTAACAACAGTGCTGGGGATGAAATTTCATTTGATAAGTATGGAAAATTGATTACAGGACTGGATATTGAAAACTGGATCACCTTCCCCAACCAGTCCTTCCATCAACTGAAAGTTGGGAAGCTGGATCCCTGGGCTGCAGAAGACAAAATGTTCAGCATTCATGAGGAAGCCCTCACCTGGCCCAGCACTTTCAATCAAGTAGGTTTCGAATGAAGTTTATTTTATTTGACGTGATTGAGATAATATTCTAAGAGATAATATCCAGTGAGTTTAACATAAACAGTATATCAAATACTAGAAGGAATTATCATCAAGATTAGAAATCAACATTTCTGGGGAAAAAACAGGAATATTTATCTATGAATTAGCCAGTTTAGTTTAGTGGTAATGCCATAAGTTTGATTCCTATCTTAGGCACAAAGCCAACTTGGTAATGTTGAGCCAATCATTTTTTCTCAACCCAGAAAGAGGACTTTTGCAAGAAAATTCTTGTTAATAGTTAACAGTGACTAGAAGTCACACTCAGACACAAAATTGTAATGCACAGTATATACACATTACATATATGTGATGTGTTCTGTGATGCGTGCATTTATTCTCCTGTTTGTTTGTCCTATGTATGTTGCAGGACAGATTTTGCAGAGTATTTCGTAGACTCCTTGGTTTTCTAGTTGGATTTTGTCTTTGGGGTTTCTTAAGATGTTGGCTATTTTTTGGTCAGTGTTGAAAGCTGTCTTGATATTGTGTTTGTGGATAATTTTGCCGATTTTATCTGTGGTGCCTTTGATATAAGGATGGAGGGTGATGCCATTGTCCTGTTCTGTGTCTTGGTTTTTGGAGGGGAGTCTCCCTTTGGATTAGGTTGGTAATTGTTTTTCTTTGGAATCCGTTGAAGATTAATACATTTGTGAGAGTGTGTAATTCAGTTTTCAGGTGATCTTTGTTGGCTAGGTGTTTGGTTCTGGAGATGAGGGTCTTGGCTACAGAGTTGATCTGTGCAGGGTGGTGATGGGATTGTGCATTTAAGTAGCGGTTGGGGTTTTTTTTTCTGGTAGATGGTGTGT